AGGCCTGGGGCTAAAGACTCGCTGCCCCACTTCGAATGGTATGATTGTTGTGTTTTTTTAACTATGTATGGTTTCTATGTTTTTTGTAACTTTGTTTGTTTGTTTGTTTGTTTGTTTGTTTTCCCTCCCTTTGAGTTGTGAGCCGCCCTGAGTCCCTTTCAGGGAAAAGGGCGGCATACAAATAAAATTAAAATGGAAAAAAAAATGAGTCTTGTTCTCTGTCATGCAAATTCAGCAGAAGACCATATATATATCTGCCCCACTTCTTCACATTTTTTCTGTTTCCGAAATAACCTGCAGAACGTAGATTCATCAGGAGTGTTTAAAAAACTCCCCTGTCCTTCTACGCAAGGTTAGATTCTATACAATTTTTGCAAAATGGTCCAGATTGCTTTTTGGTGGAATGGATTAAGGCATTTGCAGGTTTGTTGGGTCGAATAACATAAATATTTTAGGGATAGTAGTTCAGAGAGTCCTTGACTTACAACAGTTCATTTAATGACCTTTCAAAGTTACAACAGCACTGAAAAAAGTGATCTATGACTATTTTTCACACTTATGGCCATTGCAGCATCCACACAGTCAAGTGAATAAAATTCGGACACTTGGCAACTGACTCATATTTCTGATGGTTGCAGTGTCCCAGAATCATGTGATCTTTTGTGACCTTCTGACAAGCAAAGTCAATGGGGAAACTAGATTCACTTAAGAACTGTGTTAATAATTTAACAACTGCAGTGATTCACTTAACAAATATGGCAAGAAAAGTCATAAAATGGGGCAAAACCTCACTTAATAAATTTCTCACTTAACAACAGAAATTTTGGGTATATGTATATATGTATATATGTGTATGTATGTATGTATGTATGTATACATACATACATACTCATAGATTTTCACAGGTGTAGGTATGCTGGTCTTGTTGTATTTGGGTCTTTTCCCAAATACAATTGAGATTGAGATAGTTTTGGCAACATTTTGGCGAGGTCTCACTCGCCATCTTCAGGCTGGGTTTGGGGCTTAAAGCTTTAAAGTCAGTTGAATTTTGAATTTTGAATTTTGATCAAATGACCATGGAGATGCTGCAATGGGTGTGAAAAATACTTATGCTCTGTTTTTTTCAATGCCATTGTAATTTTAAATGGCCACTAAAGAAACAACTGTAAGTCAAGTACTACCTATAACTAATTTACTGATTTGTTTTAAAATCACACAAGCAAAGCATGTCTTCAGTGATTACTACCTGAAAACCACAAGACAATTTTGTAATATGCCAACATGAATGTAACTCCACTTTAATGTAAAATAAAATGAAGGTATACCTTGACTCTCTTTTTCTTTTCCTGCTTAGTGCTACTTTCTTTTCCAAAAATCTTTGTTCTTTAAGCACATCCTTAATGCTGGCACCACCAGTTTTTAGATCAAAGCTTCTTCCTGAAAGGTCTTCCAAATTTTGAATGCTTTTACCTAAAATAACACCAGAACATCTCAAGCTGCTGTATCTCATATTTCCATGGTTTCAGAATAAAGGAGGCTTCCACCGGTTTGCCAAAAATGCATCCAGTAGTAAAGCAGTACAAGAAAGATTGGCATAAAGTAAAACTCAGTACCTTGATGGCCAATTTTCAGAGATTTTGTTTTTTCTGCAGCCTTCTGTTTCCTCTTTTCTTCAAGTTTTTCTCTGTTAAGCTGTCTCCTCAGAAATCTCTCTTCTTTTTCTTTAGCCTGAAAATAGGGTGGGAAAGTGTGTGATCCAGAGTAAGACATGGACAGGCTTTCAGTTCCCTTATCCAAATGTCCCTTTATTACCCAAGTTTATGAGCCCATGTGAAGTATCTCTATTAGCTGGATTCTGGTGTGTCAGAAAATAAGGCAGACCACGCATTTCCCTCCTGTGGCTCTCGGGATGTTGTCCAACTATAATTTCTGGCAGCTTCATTCAATACAGACAGTGCTGAGGGAAGCTGGAAATTATTCTTCTGCTATGTTTGAAGGTCTCCAAGATCTAGTAGAATATGCTAACTTTAATCTTTAATACTCCTAAGCATCTTGGAGTCAACTTATGTGATATATGTCTACTGCAGCCTGTTATTTAAGACGGTACTCCCTGGAGCATCTTCCCTATTTCCTGTGCACAGAACATTTTAAGCCATATTATGGTTGAGTTTAAGGAACAATGGGATAGAGATGTTGGTTTTAAAAAAATAGTCCATAGTGATTACTTAACTTAGTCTGCTTCCATGTGCCATCCAAGACAAGGCAACAAATCAATCAATGGTACATTTTTTGTGCTCCATGAAAACAGCTAGGTCTTACCTATTCTGAGCCACTTTTGTTACTTATTTTAAAAAAGTCAATAGTAAAAAAAAAGTCTCTTGGAACTGTGGTGCCCCATCACTGGGGATTTTCAAGGAAATACTGGACAATCATTTGTCTGGGATGGAATAAGGATACCTGGTTTGGGAAGGGGGTTAGACTAGAAGATCTCCAAGGTTCTTTCCAGCAGTATGATTCTATCTAGATGAAGTTCTATTTGGCTGGGAGACAATAATAAAACTGCTCCCATCATCATGATGAGTGATTTGTGCCAGAAACTAGATAGGGGA